TTTTCTATGTAATTATTGTTTCATGTCTTATATTTAGGCCTTTGATCCATTTTGACTTAATTTTTGTACATTGGGACAAATTGCTTGTGGCTTTCCAAATTTCCCAGCACCATTAATTGAAGAAGCTTTCTTTTTTTTCTCTCCATTGTATGTTTTTGGCTCCTTTGTTGAAAATTATTTGCCCATATACATGTGGATTTATTTCAGGGCTCTCAATTCTGTTCCATTGATCTGTAAGTCTGTTTTCCTGCTAATAGGCTTTTTTGATTATTGTCACTTTGTAGTATAAGTTGAACTTGCGGAGTGCACTCTTTTCACTTTTGTAACTCTTACCCAGCAGTGAAAAGCTTGACTCCCTTTGTTCTCAACATACTTTCTTTTTTTCCTTAATTCTTCATTATACTGAAAGAAGTTACAGAATTGTTAATGCATACCTCTGTGAAAAAGAAACAAATATATTAACTAAAATTCTGTATTTATTTACAGCTTTTCTGGTCCTTAGACTGAGAGTATGTATTAGTTTCTTAGAATTAGTACTGTAATAAAGTACTGTGTACTTGGTGGCTTAAAACAGCACAAATTTATACTTTCCCAATTCTGGAGGTCAGAATTCCAAAATCAGCGTATTTTCTTTTTTAGTTTTTTAAGTATATTTTATTGATTATGCTATTATAGTTGTCCCATTTTTTTTCTCCCCATTCTCCCCCTCTGCCCTACCACCCCCTCCCACCAGTATTCTCCCTCAGCCCTTAGTTCATGTCCATGGGTCGTACATATAAGTTCTTTGGCTTTTGCTTTTCCTATACTATTCTTAACCTCCCCCTGTCTATTTTGTACCTACCAGTTATGCTTCTTACTCCCTGTACCTTTTCCCTCATTCTCCCCTCTCCCCCTCCCCACTAATCTCCCTCCATGTGATCTCTGTGTCTGTGATTCTGTTCCTGGTCTAGTTTCCTTTGTTTTTGTTTTTGTTTTTTTTTAAGTTCAGTTGTTCATAGTTGTGAGTTTGTTGTCATTTTACTGTTCATAGTTTAGATCCTCTTTTTCTTAGATAAGTCCCATTAACATTTCATATAATAAACATTTGGTGATGATGAACTCCTTTAACTTGACTTTATCTGGGAAGCACTTTATCTGCCCTTCCATTCTAGATGATAGCTTTGCTGGAGAGAGTAATCTTGGGTGTAGGTCCTTTTCTTTCATGACTTTGAATACTTCTTTCCAGCCCCTTCTTGCGTGTAGGTTTCTTTTGAGAAATCAGCTGATAGTCTTATGGGAACTCCTTTGTAGGTAACTTTCCTTTTCTCTTGCTGCTTTTAAGATTCTCTCCTTATCTTTAATCTTGGGTAATTTAATTATGGTGTGTCTTGGTGTATTTCTCCTTGGATTCAGCTTCTTTGGGACTCTCTGAGCTTCCTGAACTTGCATATCTATTTCCTTTGCCAGATTGGGGAAGTTCTCCTTCATTATTTTTTCAAATAAGTTTTCAATTTCTTGCTCTTCCTCTTCTGGATGATTTGGATGTTGGAACATTTAAAGTTGTCCCAGAGGTTCCTAAGCCTCTCCTCATTTTTTTTTTTTTTGAATTCTTGTTTCTTCATTCTGTTCTGGTTGAATGTTTATTTCTTCCTTCTGTTCCAAGTCTTTGATTTGAGTTCCTGTTCCTTCCCTTCACTGTTAGTTCCCTGTATATTTTTCTTTATTTCACTTTGCACAGTCTTCATTTTTTCCTCTATTTTGCAATCTTGCTTGGCTCTTGCCCTGCTTTCAGTTACTTCCCTCACTTCTCACAAGTGGATTGTGCCCTTTCAGGTGCTGATTCCCAGGTAGGTGGGCTTGTGTACTTCCTAGGATCCTCTGGGCCCCTCAAGTGTACTCTCCTGTGAAACTGGGAGTTTGTCCTACTGCTGCAACAAAAGCCAGGGGTTTTGAGGCTTTAATTTCCCACTCTGGAACCCTGGGTTGGGCCGTCTGTCTCGCTCCCCAGTTGTTCCTCCTGGCTTATGCACACGTGATTGTGGGACGGCCTTGTCTGACAGCCACTGCCTTGCCCACCCCAGCCTGCCAGCTGCTACCTTGTTGCACGTCCTCTCTACCCTGGCTGCTGGTCTTTGCCCCTGCTACCAGTCTGGCTGAATGTTCTTTAACTCCTTGGTTGTTGGACTTCCATGCAGTTCAATTTTCTGGCAGTTCTGGTTGTTTTTTATTTTTAAATGGTTGTTATCATTCTTTTTGGTTGCAGGAGGAAGTGAAGCATACCTACCTATAGCCTCCATGTTGGCCGGAAGCCAAAATTTCTCGACATCAGGGTGTTCTCGCAGCCACGTTTCCTCTAGTGGCTCTCTGGGAATCCTTCCTTTTTTCTTCCAGCTTCTGGGGACTCCAGGCGTTCCTTGGCTTGTGCTGCATAGCTCCAGTCCCTGCCTGCTCTTCACAGGGCCTTATACTTTATTATGTTGTCTTTTCTGTCTCATAAGCATACTTGTCATTGGATTTAGGGCTCACCTGGATGATGCGGAGTGATCTTGAGATTCTTAATTATATCTTCAAATACTGTTTTTCCATGTAAGGTCACATACACAGGTTCTGGTGATTAGAATGTGAATATATCTTTTTTTGGGGGAAGGGTGGCACCATTTTATCCATGAGATTCCATTTTCCTCTCCTGAGTTCAAGAGTTGTATCTTCAACTACCACCTTGGCATTTCCATTTGCAGATCATAGGCGTTTCAAACATGATACAGATCCAGCGGGGAAATCTTGATTCTTACTGCCCACTTTAATTGTTATCAACTTGTTTTCTAATTGCTAAAGCTATACAGTTGGGAGTCATCCTCAAATACTCCAACAACCATAACCCCCAAACCCTTCCTCTCCCACCACACAGATTTAGTCCACTATGAAGTCCTGTCTGTTCAATCCAAAATACCAGATTTTGCCGTGCATACTGTGCTCCTGTGTGTAGTGAGTACCCACATTTTTGGCCCCAACTTTAAGGAAAAAAACCTTGCGTTTTAATATTTAATTCAAGTATTTATATATTTATATTTAGATACTTGTTTTTTGTATTATAAAGGAATTTTAGTATTTATTTTTGAACATACTATGGTACAAGAAGTTTTATGTAACAAAAAATTACAAAACACAAAAACATATACAAGGTATTTCAGGCATTACCCATATTTAAGGATTAAAAATAATCCTTTTTTTCCCCTCAAAAATTTGGGCAAAATAGTGCATATTATACACAGCAAAATATGGTACATCTCAAATCTGTCCACTTTCCTCTTTTCACCACTACTATTCTTATGTGAGTGAACATTCTCTCATGCCTCTAGATCAAATTATTATGCACTGTAACAGATCTGTTAGTAGTCTTAATACTTTTACTCTTGCCTCATTAGCAATCAGTACAGTCCTTTAAAAATATACTTCTAAAAACAACTCTGTTGGCTTTCTAACCTCTTTACACAGACTATAACAACTTACATATTCTGGCTCCTGTTTCTTTGCACACCCACTTATTTTGTGCTCGCTCTTGCACACCGTGCAGTAGCCCACTAGCCTTCTTTCATTTCCTCCAGCACACCCAGCTCTTTTCCCACATCTTCTCATACGCTTTTCCATCTCTTGGAAAGCACTTTTTCCTACTTTTACATGACTGGCTTCTTCTCATTCCTTCAATCTCAGTTTATATTACACTTACTTAAATAAGTATTGCCTGGCGCTCTAAGTAAATATGACCTGTTCCCCTCTGCTGCAGAAGAGGTTCTGGTCCCTGTTTGTATCCTGGAAACACGAACAGAATGCCAGGAGTTGGCCAGCTGCTACTTCAGGCATTGTAGGCAACTGGGACTAGAGATGGTCTCCAGGCCCACATGTGGGCACTGCCGTTCCAATTTATTCTTTCCATAGAACCACAGTTACTTTTCTTCTAATATGCACATTTTGCTTCTTGTAGTATAGCTTTGTTTTTGACTCTTTCAGAATGAGACCTTAACACTGTTACAGTAAAAATATTAGGATCCTTTCTGCCTCATCTGAACCTGACTTACTGTATGAGAGCACTGTAGCTGACTTTGCTACCTAGGAGGGAAGAGAGAGAGAGAGAGAGAGAGAGAGAGAGAGTCTTCATGTTTGATAGGCACTCTGTGGTTCATGTGGCTTGATGTCAGTTCTTATACCAATATTGCGTGGTTTTAACTAAAGTGTTTTTACATTATCTTATGTGTTATACTTAGTAAGGCATATCTTCCTGAATAATTTTAAAGATGTCTTTCCTTTTCTCATATATTTATTCTCCCAGATGTATTATAGAATCAAGATTGTTGACACATTTTTAAGAGGCATGGGTTTTTTTTACCTTCAACCTTCTTTTTTTTTTTTTGCCTTGGTTTATTTGTAAATACTTTATATTCTTTTAAATGCTTTTTTCATCGAGAAAAGAATATTTAAAGAAGGGCCTCTTTCTCTTTCTTTTCTTAAAGAGAGGCTGTCATTTCCCCCTCTATTTCCTTTTTTTAGATCTTGTTACATCTAAGCACTGTCCTAATTCCTGGGCAGCAGGGGTGGGGTGGAGGATATTGCACAGTGAATTAAACAAAGGGAAAATAAACAAAGTGGAATAAACAAAGCATTTTATGAAATAAAACTGAGATAAAGCCCTGACTGGTGTGGCTCAGTTGCTTGAGCATCACCCGCAAAGCAAAAGGTCACCTGTTTGATTCCCAGTCAGGGTACATCCCTGGGTTGTGGGTTCATCCCGAGTGGGAGGCATCTGATAGATGTTTCTCTCTCACGTCTCTCCCTCTCTTTCTCACTCCCCTCCCCTCTCTCTAAAAGTAAATAAATGAAATATTTAAAAAAACATAAAATTATATCCGTGTGTTATTAAAATAATGTGCTTTGGGGAAGACTAAAGTTTTACACATACATCAGTTTCTGGTTAGTTTATTTTTTAAACTTTCTTAAATATCTTTTTTCCTTAATATTTTTTTAAGGGTCACACAGCAATGCTTCATACCGGCTCATGGCATCCCAAAATAAAAGGAGAATTTATGACTTGCTCAAATGATGCGTGAGTACTGTTGATAATTCATCTAATGTTCATATCTTTCAGTATTTCCTTTAACATTTGGATTGTAACAGTCTTGTCTATAAAGTAGGAGATAGAGCATTAGGAATCTTGATGTTTATATATTTTTGTTCCTTACTTTGAATTTAGCTGGCAGTGTAAGGTTTGTTTAAATAAATATGGAAACTATGCAAATGAGGTATAAACTCCAGTAGAGTTTATTGGGCGCACAGTGGATCAGACTGATGTTATTAAGTGGACTCAAATGACTTTGAAACTATAACTGATAATTTGTTGCTTTTTATAGTAAAGACTCATTTCCATCTGGGTCTAATAGCTAATATGAGTTTATTGTTGATTGTTTTTTGGCAGTAATAACTGAAACATTTGATTAAATGGTTATTAAGATTCTTTCCCATTATATCTGTTGGCCTGGGACTCAAGAATATTACAGAGAATATTTGGGCAGCTGTTTCCTGTATTGTCACTATATGATTCATTTTTAGTATTAAAAGTAGTTCACAAGAATGTGCTTCTTGTAATATTACAGAGAAAATAACAACACAAAATCCTATAAATTAAGCAGAGGCTCCTTGAGAGTTCTTGCATGCTTCTCCTCACTTGCAAACATGGCGTCACTGCCTGATCCAGCCCTGGCTCTCCTGCCGGAGAATGAGAGAGGCGGTGGATCCGGGCCCTGTTGTCCCAGTCGAGGCCACCTGAGATCAACTTAGACTCACCGCCTTCTAAACTTGGAGGGTCCACGGTGCCAAAGACTAAGAACAATTAAAGATCCTGAGGAATAAATTACCAAAAGAAACCAGCATTTTCCAAATAGAGCGATACAGCTTCCTCTCTTCCCACAGCGGGGAACACCCTGTCACACCCTGGGCGCAGTGTCCCCAGGAGCTCCCTTTGGAAAATGAAGATTCCCACTAGTAAATGCTTTTGGTAGTGGGATTCAGTAGATTATAAATATTTTTATTTGTGGCATCTCAGAAAGATGAATTGTGCAATTAAATATTTGACACATTTGTCCCCGCATAATATCGTGCAGCTCACAGACCTGGGGGAACTTGGGTGCTCCGCTGCCCGTCGGGGCTTTGAGCTCGTAGTCTCAGATTCCTGTAGAATGGGATAGTGCGGGATTCACAGGGTCGTCATGGGATGAAACGCTCAAAGCCTTGTGCCCAGTTCATGTTCAGGCGCGGGGCTTGCCTTGGATTCATTTGAATTGGACTAAGGCTGCACACAGTGTTCAGCCCTCAGGTTTTCTTAGGGTCCCAGTCACGCCCTGCTGAGCAGCTCCTCTCTGGGAGCGCGTGGCTCCCCAGCTTTTGCCAGAAGGCTGCTGTGCAGAGTTCACTTGATTTTTATAATCAATAACATCTGTATACACAATTGTAAAATTCTCCAAGGAATGGTGGTTTATGTAAATGATCCCCGCAAAGTAAACTTTTGTATAAATCAAAGTTTTCTCCCCCTATTTTAAGTATTTTAGGGGGGAACTTAAAACATTAAATTCATTTCCTATGTTATTCATAAGTGTTTTGAATATAATTCAGAATCATAATTTATAAATTACTACACTGTAGTATGATATGCCTCAGAAAGTCTTGGCATATGTAGGTGTTATTTCCAGCTTTTTGGGCTCTTGACTGCTGTTTTTGTTTTTTGGTTTCCTTTACTGTTAATTGTGACTTTTTGCCACCGTTGGTGTGATACATTATATAAATACCTCAGTCTCACTCCTCCGTTTCGTGCTTCAAGTAAGCTGTGGATGGGGGCCGTGCAGGGCTGCCCGAGCCTTTAGAGCTGGCACAGGAGGAGGGGTGGGCCTTGAGTGTAGTGTACGGATTCTTTAGCATGTAGTGTGTGGATCTTCCGGTGTGAAATGTATGGATCTGTTAGCACACTGATGTCACCGTGTCCCTTGGCTGCCGGGGGACCTCTTCCTGCCTGCTTCCTGGTTCTGGGCAGTTCTGTGCTGTCCAGGCCGCCAGATGAGTCGGTGCTGCTTCCTTCCTAATGGCTCTTTCTTGGTGATGCCCTCACGGAAACACAAGGTGCTGTGTAGATCCTACTTCTGCAATATCTGGTATCGTTTCTACCAAATAAAATTATTGGTTTACTTCATCCAATTCTAATTATCCTTTAATCTACTTTCCAATTTTTCATTTTAAAGCCATAAGGATGCCTTTGAAATTGTTTTGCTGGCTACTGGCACTTAAAAATTTATAGCTTTGATTTTATTACTATGTGGGTTAAATAAAATGTAGCCATTTCAAAAGCATTCATTAATTTTTACATGAAACAGATAACTTTGTGGAAAAATTAACTAGGGTCTAAGTTAAATTCCCATTCAAACTCGGTGGTTATGGTAAAATATACTTACAAAAGGCAACATTTACTCAAATACTTTTTAAACCTTTTTTTCTTCGTGAGTTGAAAGAATAATGAGAATTTATTCTCAAATTACTGCTGAAGTTGAGATGTGCACATTTTGGTGTTAGTTTGATTGAGCTTCTGTTGACAAACTGTAGTCTTGAATGCAGGGATGATTTAGATCTTTTAATTTTCTCCTAAATTCATGTGATTCATCTGACTTCCCAAAATAGTTTGCTTTTATGCTGACCTATTTTATTTTTATTATATTGAGAAACACACAGTAGGTAAAAAGTCTGAAAGATTTAAAAAAGAAAGATCCACTGCAGAGCTACCAGGACAAATTATTTGAAAGGTTGGGTTTTAGAACTTACAATTAGGGCCCTCGAAATATCACCATTCAGGTTTACGTGTGATCATTGTAATTTTAATTCTCTGCCTTTAATTCAACCGTTAGAATCCTTAAAGTTAGTGTCTGACTTACTATGTTTGATTAAATATAGAAAGAATTTTTGTTAATTTTTATGTGAGTAATTTGTTACATTGAAAGCCGAGGTTGAATTTTTTGGTAGCTTGTTTGTCACTTCTATTTTAAGTGGAAAAATGTCAGTGTTCCTAGTTTCTATCATGAAACATAATACTATGAAATGTAAAATCCTGCAAACATATTATTTTAATTGGAAAATGAAATTGACAGTTATAAAGAGCCGTGCATTGTTTGGAATTTGGACTTTGTTTTCCTTTAGGAGTCTGTGAGAGGACAAAATATGGCTTTATTTATTAATCAGTAAATTTTAAAATGATTTGAAAAAAACACATCAAAAACAGTGTAGAGGTTTATTATATTTTGGTTCTGCGGTGATTTAAGGTAATTGGATGCTGATCTAAAGTAGTCAAAGCCCTAGAGAAGGATTTTTATGCTTGACTTTGGAGGTAAGTTGTACAGTGCTGTATTGATTGATGACATAATTTGACCCACTAAAAAACCTAATAAATATCTTAAAAATATTATAGCATGATTTTTCAGTGTTATTAAGAAATGAATGCAAAAGTATTGTGCTCATTTACATTTTGTTTCTCGAAATAAATGAATAAAATCATATTGGGGGAGTTGAATTCACAGAAAAGAGTTATTTATAATTAAGCATTTTAAATTTTTGTACATTTTAATTTTCAAATTCCTGTTTATGCTTGAATAGCCTTTGATTTATAATTTTCTTAGTACTTCAACTTACTTAGATATATTTTAATCATATGTTTACAGTATAAAACTTCACCTTATATAGCTACGTATTGTGAGAAAATTTAATATCATACTAACCTTGCTGTAAGTTTTATGTTATTTTTATGCAAAATGTCCTTTGTATGTGCTCGGTTGCTGTGTGTAACAAGATGTTGTTCACACCTTCACAAACATTGGAGGAAAGTTCAATAAAGTCCAAGTTTGTTATGTTTTACTTTATTTACACACTTTTTACAGTTGTTAATCAGCAATTTATTTTGGCTATAGAAACATCAGTGACGAACAATAATCCCTGTGTCTGGATTATAAACTGTAGAGGATGCCATTGAGTATTTCCTTTGTTTATCTTGAATTGATATAAACACATTGTTCATATCATCAGTATGTCTCTAAAATGTTATAGCAATTCAGTTTTTAAAATATTTATTGATTCTTTCCTTTATATATTTGTTTTTTTAAAAAGAAGAATGTGGATATCTCCAAATATTGAAGGGTATACTTGTTCACTGGTGTACCTAATTACTGAGGATTTGATAGAGGGCAGTCTGAATTTCTTCTGGGGATTTCTAGGCCAGGCAAGGTAGCATCAGTACAACCAGTCCACTGCATGCGTGACTAAGTGAATCTGTGTGTATGACTAACACACCAGTTCTCTTGTGGGCGGTGGCCTGCGTGGCCCGTTATGGAGTAGTCATATACGTAGAAGAATATCATTCCTGTGAAAACTAGTGAATTGAACTTAGTTGCAGAAATGGGAATAAAAAGTATCTCCATATTGTGGATTTCGCAATTCCAGAAACTCGTAATTAAAATCAAAATGATCCTTTGTTTTGACTCTCTTTTTCTGAAAGACTTGGCTAAAATAGTGGTTTTTCTTTTTTAAATTACTACTTCCATTTCTTTTCTAACTTTCTGTGACTGTATGATAAATTTATATACTGTTTCCGAATTCCTTCTTTTCTTTTACGGTGTGTAAGCTTGTTGAATCCATTCCCAGCTTTGAAAACAGTTGTCACCTCATCTTTTCAGTTTCATATTGTCAGAATTGATGAAGTCAGGGTGGCAAGTTAACAGGCACTTTGCAAGGAAGTGTGAATCGTAAGTTGCCCCTTTTTGTTGCCTTTTTCTAAATCTTGTAAGTTTACATGATTTTGTAAAACTATTTCTGTCTTATAAACTATCCTTTTGTGTGATAATACTTTTAAAATTTGTCTTGATGAAAATGTTAGCTTTTGTTACTACTTTTAAAAATGTGCTCCAAGTAAAAAGTTTACTCTTCTCTTAACAACACTTTTCTGTTGTTGTTATAGTAATAAAAAGAAAAGTAGAATATAAATAGAGACATGTCAGAAGTTATTAATCACAGGCTTCCCTT